CCTAGCTCAGGCCTGGCATATAGCCTGGCATATAGAACTGATCACTCAGTACTATCTACTGAATAAAGGAAGGGACCATCTAATGAATTAGCAAAGACAAATATGTACGTCTCTTGATTCTCTATCCAGAGCTATTTATTTCTTGTGGCTTTTTTGGGTTTTTTGTTTTTGTTTTTGTTTTTGTTTGTTTGTTTGTTTTACCTAGCACCTAAAAATCAAAAGACAATGTCTCATTTCTAAGTTGTATAGTTTGGCATGAACTTTCACCAAATCTTTAGCCAATCCACCATCTTCCCCAAGCAGCCTCTGCTAGCATCCAGGCCTTTGTCCCTGGAGCCTTGCTGTAGCTGGAGCCACGTGGTCCAGTCCACGAGGCCGTGTAACAGTCAAAGAATCAATCCAACAACTAAAACACTCACGATAGTTCAAGCTCCTTAACTATGTGTCTCAGACACCACAGAGGGACACATACTGCAGCAAAATTTCTTAAAATCCACCTTCCCGGGGCGCCTGGGTGGCTCAGTTGGTTAAGCAACTACCTTCGGCTCAGGTCATGATCCTGGAGTCCCAGGATCAAGTCCCGCATTGGGCTCCCTGCTCAGCAGGGATTCTGCTTCTCCCTCTGACTCTCCCCCCTTTCATGTTCTCTCTCTCTCTCTCTCATTCTCTCTCTCAAAAAAATAAATAAAATCTTAAAAAAAAATCCACCTTCCCATTGGCCTCTCTCACCTCGCCTACAACTCCTTCTACGTGCTTTCCTCCAGCACCCTGAAAAATTCCTCCCAAGTCTTAAATGGTGGGCTTCTTGTCCATTTCCTTCTGCCCCTTTCATCTTGATTTTGTAGCCCCCAAGCTGCCTCCCCTCCAAAAAAAAAAAAAACTAGTCAAGAATCAGAAGGAAAAAAAAAAAACTCAGCAAAACCTCACTAGCTGACAGCCTGAAAGACCAGACACCCTCCTTCAGGAATAAACTGCCCTTTTCAACGGCATCCTCTTATCCAAAGAATAAGTTTTATTTTACAGCCTCTCCTTTCTGTTCATCTTATGTTCTGTCCTCAGCCTCTTTTCTTCCAACTGGCAACATCAGAGGTGATCCTACCGTAAAATAAACCAGCAAATGTCTATGGCCCGAACCTTGCTTGTCCACAACTGACACTCTCCAGGCTCGAGTCAAAATGGCAGAAGGGCCTAACGGCCCCCAAACACGCATTCCCCCTCCACCCGCGTGGTAAGTGTGGCTTGTATGAAGGCTACATGACAAATGTCTGAGTACTGCCAGCCTTTTTTTTTCCCAAGGGAAACATTTTGCTTGGGCACATTTTGTCTACAGAATCCTTTGAACTTGACATTGCTGGATACTTACTTAGAACAAATACAAACTAGCAGGGACCATGTAAAATATTCAGGACACACAACTGAGTCTGATGCAAGCACTTGCCACCACCTGCGCCCTTGACAACCTGCCTTGAGGATGCTCCTGACATTTGCACTGCTCAACCAGGTAAATTCAACTCATCGGAGATCAGCAAGGCCCGGCCCCCAGCCTCTCACACACAGTTTTCTGTCTACACTGGCTTTCAGGAGTCACTAACCACTTGCTTCCTATGTTTCCACTTGATTTGGCATTTTATAAGCAGCATAGATCAATTGGAAAGTGAATTATCCCTGGTAGTGACTAATAATAAGATAATAACGTTATAACCACCTCAAAAACTGTGTAGGAGCTAGAGAAAATGCGGCAAGAGCAGAAAAATTGAATCAAGTTATGCAAAAAAAAAAAAAAATTAAAGCGGGTGACTTTGCGAGAAGGCAAAGAGCAGTTAATTTGGCTTCGGAATTAAATTATTCCTGTTACAGATGAATTTAGCAGGGCAAAATGTAGGAAAATGTATTTAAATGATCATTGAGCTAATAAATCCAATAAATCGTTTTGATCCTACTGAGATCTCTTAGTTCCTCCGTTTGAACCTAGAAATGCCTTACCACGGTCTGCGGTAAGATCTGCTCCCGCCACTTTGCTTATGCGGCCTTCATCCTCTCTGGCCGCGCTCCGGCCCCACCAGACCTTCTGTTTCTGTCTTCCCGGAGTCCTTGTACCTGGCAGTCCTCTGCTTGAACATCTTTCCCAGATCTCCACATGGCCTCCCCATCGCCGTTCAGGTCTTGGCTCCGTGGACGGCCCTTCTCTGGTCACAGCTGCTGAAGGGTCCCCCTGCAGTCTCAGTCCCTACGGGGCTACCGGTCTTCTTTCCCTTCTTTCCCACAGCCTTTGCCTTCATCTTTCATAGTCCTCCCTGCTATATGAAATTATTTTATTATATATGTTATATCGTATTATATATATAGCTCTTCGTTTATAGATTCATTGGAATGAACAGACATGAAAGTAGAACATAGTGGGGGGCGCCTGCGTGGCTCAGTCGGTTAAGCATCTGCCTTAGGCTCAGGTCATGATCTTGGGGTCCCGGGATCGAGCCCCGCGTCGGGCTCCCTGCTCAGCAGGGAGTCCGCTTCTCCTTCTCCCTCTGCCCTTCCCTCCCACTCGCTCTCTCTCAAATAAATAAATAAAATCTTAAAAAAAAAAAAAAAGAAGTAGAACACAGTGCTTGACAGCAGGGCCTTGGGGCCAGACAGCTCTGCTCCTACCAGCAGGGGGATCCTGGGCAAGTGACTGAATCTTGTGGGGCCTGGTCTGTCTCAACTAGGATGATAATATCCACTTCATAGGGCTTCCTATGCACTGAGTTGTGCTTCCCACCATCACCACCACCACCAAATGCGTGTGTCGAGGCCATAACCCCCAAGGTGACAGTATTTGGAGGTGACGTCTATGGAAGGAGCTCTCACGATGGAATCATGGCCCTTATAAGAAGAGACGAGAGAGCTCAATCACTGCATTGTGAGGACACAGCAAGCAGATGGCTGCCTGCAGGCCAGGGAGAGGGCTCTCACCAGGAACCGAGTCTGCCGGCACCTTGATCTTGGCCTTCCCAGAGCCCTAAACTGTGGGAAATAAATGTCTATGGAATTTTGTCATAGCAGCCCCAGCTGTCTGAGACAGCGCTTTTTTGAGGATTTGATGAATTAATGGATGTAAGGCAATTAGAACAATGCCTGAAACATAATAAGCTCTGTATGCATTTTTTTAAACTTTTTATTATGGAATATTTCAAACACAGACAAAAGTAGAGAGGGTAGTATAATAAATATTGTACTATGAAGCCATTAAGCCCTATGAAACCATCACTGAGCTCCCATAATGATCAGTTCAGCCTTGTTTGAGCTGTACTTCCATTCAGTTCTCCCACCCCTGGCTTACTTAGAGACAGGTTCCAAACTTCATATAATTTTATCTGGAAATGTTTCAGGATGTAACTCTAAAATACAGGGACTCTTTATTTTAAATATAACCAAAATATCACCATTACGTGGAAAAATAATGAGCACAATAGCCTTGTGACACCCCAAAAACCAAACTTTTGTCTCGGCCTTGGCTACCACTATATCCCCAGACCTACATTAAGGTCTGGCATCCAGTAGGTGTCCAATAAGCAGGGGTTGGAAAAACCAATGATTCTCTCTCTTTGCTTCAAGTGTCTCTGAGTCTCAACACCTCTGAGGCTGTCTCTAGTTAGAGTTGTCTACTCCATACACATGTTCACGTTAACTTACTTTTGGCTTGCATATTCCTCTTTAACACTTTGTATAGTCCTAGAGAAGGAGAAGGGCAGCAAGAACCTTCCACAAATATCTCCTGCTCCCCAGTTAGATGCTTGACCCCACGTAAGTGACTGGGCTCCAGGGGTGACCAACATGCCATTGACTAGACTAATCTCAAAGTTCACATAGAGGCAGGGAGACCTGGTAATAACCAGATCCAATGAAAGGGAAAATATCAAGGAAGAGCATGGTTTACTAGAAGCGAGAACACATTGAGGCCCCTGTTACCAAATTCAGATGGGGCTGGTGGGGAAGCAATGAAAAGATCAGTGGAACAGACCGAGAGAGCACAACTAGATCAACATGTTCGCAGGAATTCAATATGGGGCAGAGATGGTATTTCAATTCGGTTGGAAAGGGGTCATTGTTTAATTAATGAAACTTGCACAACCAGCTCTCTTTTGCAAGGAAGTTGAAACCTCATTTGACGTCAGATGGATCGAAGAGTTAACATCCAAAAAATAAACGAAAACAATAAATATCTTGCGAGAAAATGTGGAAGAAGACAGGGTCGGTCTCAGTGCATAAGAAAACAAGAAAGTTGGACACCTGGGTGGCTCAGTTTGTGAAGCGGCTGCCTTCGGCTCAGATCATGATCCCAGGGTCCTAGGATTGAGCCCTGCATCGGGCTCCCTATTCAGCAGGGAGTCTGCTTCTCCCTCTCCCCAACTTGTGCTCTTTCTCTCTCTCTGTCAAATAAATAAAATACACTGAAAAAAAGAAAACAAGAAAGTGGTACGTAAAAAGACATTTTACCCCCAAAATTACTTCTTTGGCAACAGATTCCATTCACAAAGTCAATATGAAAATAAGGAATTCAAATATGAAACTATTGGCCATTTTGCAGTGTATAAAAGATCACATCATTATGTTGTGCACCTGAAACTAATATAAGGTTACATGTCAATTATTCTTCAATTAAATGTCAGCAGATGTCAAATAAAAAGTTAATATTTATAATATGCAAAGAGCTCTCACACACTGATAAGAAATTCATAAGGAGGATTGAGTCAAAGGATAAGACTCAGCAAGACAGCGCAAATCCAGATGGCCAACAAACATACGGAGAGAGGCCCTAACTCACTAGTTGCACGGGAACTTGAAATTAAAGTAACTGTGAGATTTCATTTTGTCCCCGTCAGACTGGCAAAAACTAAAAATACTACTAACACTTATTGCTGGCATGGATGAAGGGAAACAGACTCATAAAATTGTTGTTGGACAGGTGACAAGTTATAGCATTGTTGGAAAGCGATCTGAAGTTAAAAAAATACATATACCCTTCAACGGAGCAATCCCACTCCTGGGGCTCTAGTCCATCAAAATAAAAGCTCCAGCTGAAGGATACACAAACACGGGTGTGTCCCGCAGCACTGCTTATAGGCTCGGGGTGCAGGGGGAGGGCAGGAAGTAGAGCGGATGCCTGTCAGTAAAAGACCGGATGAAGAAATGACAGTTAGTGCTCACTATAAAATAGAATGCTTGTAATGCATTACAGGAATGAATTAGGGCTGATGCAGCTGACTCAGAGCCTCATGGGTGTTGCTGTTTGAATGATAAAGCAAGATGCAAAAGGGGTGCCTCACAGGGCCCCGCTTTGTGAAACAATGCTCAAGCCCCACATGTGCGTAGGCAGAGGAAAAGGCGCAGGTGTGTGTTTATGTGTGCATGTTAGCTGCAGGTACGTTCTGTTTATGATTGTGGTGAACATGCAGAAATACACAGGTTACTGACATGGGCATGAAGGGGGTGGGAGAGAGAAATGTGTATGGAGGAGGGAGACGAGCAAAAGGAGAAAAGAAAGACGGAGAAATGCTGATACGACGGGTTTTCCCAGTTCAGCCCTTCTGCAGATCATCCCCACACCGATCCCAGCGGAAAGGAGGAAGGAGATGTGGGAGAATGGGTAGCACCAAAGGGCCTGGTTTGTCCAGAGGAAGAAGGGGAGCATGGCTGAACTCAGGGCATACGTGGGGGTCAAGGGCTACGGAGGAGATAAAGCAGACGAGATTGGAGGAGATGTGGCCAGGCCTCAGTGTGTAGACCCCACTGAAGAGTCTCAGTGGGGAGATGCTACCATCTCCCACCTTTCCCGGGCACCCTCTATGTGCCCTACGGCCCTAGGTGTGTGATCTGAATTAATCCATACTGTACTGAGGGGGGCATGTGATTTCTCCCATTTCGAAGCTGAAGGAATTGAGCCTCTGAGAGGTGACGCACCTTCCCCCAGGTCCCTGGGGCTCTAAGTCGGTCTTCTAGCTCCAGACTCCGTGTTGTTTCCACTACCCCATTCAGTGTGGTCTCCATAGCTAAGTATAACCCCCTAACAGCAGGGGGTGGTCCTAGGTGTGAGGCCAGAAAGAAGGCAAGAGCTCAGTAGATGTCTACCTGTCCGTGACTCGGGGAAGGGAAGGGGCAGGTGCCCTGCAGGGCCTCTCCCCACTCTGGGGCAGGAACTATATACAGGGAGAGCTGGGTGCAAACCATCATGAATCTGCCATTTGCTGGCTGCTTGGCTGGGCATGTTCACCTCCCTGAGCCTCAGTTTCCCGGGGGTTTCTGTACTATTAAAGGACAATGAGGCTGGCACACAGCAGGCATTCAGCAAATATGAGACTCTACAGCGTGAGAGCCTGAGAGCTGGCATCTTGACTCTCTCACTTCTTGGCTGTGTAACTTTGGGCAAGTTGCTTAACCTCTCTGTGCCTCGGATTCCCCATCTGTCAAACGAGAACTATGACAGACCTCCCCTGGAGGACTTGCTGTAAGGGTCACAGGAGTTCGTACCACGTGAAACATACCTTGTGCACAGGCCACACTCAACAAATGTGGGAGCTGGGTGGTCAACAGGACCCCCATCATTGAAGAAAATGTGCTGCTATATCACTTTTGCTCCTCTTCTCTCTCCTTCCACCTGGCCCCCTCCCCCTATTGATCAACAAACACGTACTGAGAGCCTGGTTTGTACCAAACTCTGCTCAAGAGGCAAAGGACACAGTAAGGCACATGAGGGACAAGGATGCAGCCTCTCGGGACTCAGGACTTACCAAGAAAGACGAGAAACAGTATTTGCAGCACAAGGAGGTGAGGCCCCAGGGAAGGAGGCTGGGGGGATCCTGGCCAGGGCACCAAGCCTAATCTGGTCTGGGGGCAGGGCTGCACCCCCCGCCTCGGGAAGCAGCCCCATGTCCCTCTGGGAGGCAGGCCCTCCGTCTGAATTCCACACGGGCCCCTGGAGTGGGTGGATATATTATCATGCAGGAAGTTACTTGGCTCAGATCACAGACTGCTCACAGTGTGCAAGGGACTCCAGTGACGCCAAGAGGGGCACTCAGGCACGCAGGGTTGTTGGAGAGAATGCCAAGGTAGGGAAAGAGGAACTTGACACCCTGCAACACCCACCAGGGTCAGGAGGTCGGGTCTTCTCTACCTGCTGCAGTTTGCCCCCCCCCCCCCCCCCCATCAGGCCTGGACAAAGCAGGGTGTGGTGCTGGGCCTCATCTAGTAGGCTCAGGACCTGGCTACCCTTCCCATCCACCACAGAGCACCCTTGGCCATCTAGACCATTCCTATAAGGAGCCAAGTCAGCCACATTTTATAGAATCGGTGATACACTTGGTAGAGTATAATAACAAATCGTTTGTACTTAAAACTTCCAAGGGGGAGACACATACTTGATCTTCATGATGACAACAGCCCCGTAAAGTCACCATGATGCCCATTTTACAGATAAGCACACAGAGGCAGAGAGGGGAAATAACCTGTCTCAAGTTCACCTGGCTTGTGGGGGAGGGGTGGAGCCAGGATTTCTAGCCCTTGGCCCTAGCAGCCCCCCCACTCCCCGGGGCCCCTCGGCCTAGGAGCAGCCTGTTGGTCCTCCCCACGGTCTGGTCTTTGGGTCAATAGCTCAATATGATGCTAGTTCCTCCCTCCCTTCCATCCAAGGCCTAGAAAAAGAACTCTGCCAGGCTCAGAACCCTTTGCTCTTGAGCCATTCTTGGCTGTGACTAATGCCCCTTTAAACCTGCAGGTACGGAAGCCCGCCCCTGAAAGGCAGGGTAGTCGGCTTTGGGACTGCTATTCCACTGGAGGAAGAGGCAAAGGTCATCTCCTCCATGAAGCCTTCCCACCTGTGGTTTTCCGTGCTGTGCTCCGGTCACACCATGGACTGCCCTCTACCACTCCACCTTCAGTCACTGGTTCCTGCCAGTGCCGGCCTTGGTTTTGTTCATCTTTGTATTCATTGTCCAGAGCTGTGACAGCCCATAAGCACTGCGCCCGATTCACAGCTCGCCCTGATCCGGCCCACCGCCCCCCCATCAGCCTGATCTCTGCCAGCCACTCCCGGCAAAACAGAACCACCTGCGGCCCCTCTACCTACGAGCACGCATGATTGCAATTAAACAGTCAGTTCGTAATCAGTGACTCAGGGCCTGCCTCCTGGGCGTGCGTGCTCCCAGAGGCCGGGACCCCGCCAGTCTCACTCACTGATGTGCCTTGACACATAGTAGGTGCTCAACGAAACCATTTTTTTTCGAGAATGTAGTTTTTATTTGTAACAAATGGTCTGCAAAAATCACCAACACCTCTTCAGTTAAAAATAATTAAAAGATTTAGGGATTGATTTTCTAAATCTTTTTTTAAGTGTTTATTTTCCAACAAATTCTTGTTGCGTGAATGTTCCACCTCCCCTGTTCCCTCCGCCTGGAAAACCGTGCCTGGCCTCCTCTGCTCCTTGTCTTCCACTCATCCTTCAAGACCCAGCTCCGCAGCCACCAAGTCCCAGGAGCCCATGCTGAATACCCAGGTGACACTGTCTCGCCTTCTTCGCGGTGTCCACATGCCCACCTCTGCCCTCCATCCACATCATACTGAGTGCCACCGGCAGGTCTCTCTCCACTGGACTGATTGCCTCTGAGCAGGGACCATGTCATTTTCATTTTTGTATTTCATTCAAAGCACATAACACCCAATAGGAGCTCGACATGTAGCTAATATTTATTTAGGGCTTTGCCATGAAGGAGGCACTAGAAGCACTTTTTTATTTCATTTGTCAGCATAGCACCTCGAGGCCAGCAACGCTGCCCCATTTTTCAGACAGGCCAGCTGAGACTTGGGACTGCCTGGTCGCTTGCCCAAAGCCGCGCTGCTAGGGGGCATCTGAACCCCATCCCCCAGGTCCTGCATGGTCTTGCCATGCCGCTCAGCAGCCCCTCCTCTTGGTAGGCCGAAACCCACACAGAGAGGAGTGCCCTCCCTTGTCTTTCCTGCTTGTCACCTCTCCAAGTTCCACTTTGCCCAGGGACCTTGGAAGTCACCCCCTCTTTCCTCCCAGAAAACTCCAGCATCTTCTGAAGACACTGTTGGCTTCCCTGTGCAGAGTTCCAGGCCAACTCTCCCGGGATATTCCAACCAGGCCGTTCCGATTTCCTGCCTCCTCTTGCCTGCTGAAGCCTCTGTTTCTCTTCCTATTGGCCCAGGAGCTTTCTTGAGCAGTACACACGTTATTTGGTGAGCACCTACTATGTGCCAGACACCGGGGGACCAACACCGTGGGAGAGGCAGGGAGGATAATAACACAACCAGACCCCTACCCTTACACTAGAACTCAGAAAATAAATGCATACATAAGGCGGGGGTGGTGCTACTAAGGGTTAAGGAGAAAATTTCAGGAGGTAAAGAATGAGCGATGATGGAGGAGGGGTGGGGGGCCTTCTCTATTGGGTGGTCAGTTGGGTCTCCGAGCAGATAGCTGTGGGAAGGAGGGATTGAATCAGCTGCCAGAAGACGGGCATACCAGACACCAAAACTGTGATGCAAAGGCCCTGGGATAGGCGTGGGGCCATGGGATCCAAGCATGGAGTCTGGTTTGACTGGAGGAGAGGAGGGAGGGAGGGAAGTTGAAGAGGAGAGGCTTTGAGGTGGCTGAGTCTGGCCATGAAGGACACCCAGGACCCATTCTCTGTCCCCTCCCAAACCTGCTCGTCCAGGCGCATGGCCTCCATCTCACTTCCTCTACCACTGGATTCCCCAAAGAGTCGCTGGAAATCGCCTTTTCTCCCTGCCCTTCTGCCCTTTAACACTCTGTCTCTTGCTTCACCTCTGCATCTTTATGTGTCCTCTTTATTATATTATTTGTTTCTACTCTGTAACTTTCTGATTGATTTTCTATCATACTATTGTCTACCGCGGCTCAGTTCCTGGTGAAACTGCACACCAGCCAGGGGACGGGGGGTTGGGGGGGTTGGGGGAGGGACAGAACTTTAGAGATTCTGAGCTCAGACTAGGGCTGCAAGTCCCAGGTGGGAAAGCCACTTCTCTGTGGGATTTCTGGTCATGGCTGCCTCCACGTGTGGATTTTCAGCTTC